AAACCCTAAACCCTAAACCCTAAACCCTAAACCCTAAACCCTAAACCCTAAACCCTCGCGCCGCCACCCCGGCGCCTTAGCACCCCCGAAAACGCCCCGCGCCAAAGACCCAGGGTTTAGGGTTTAGGGTTTAGGGTTTAGGGTTTGCACCTGTAACCTCCACGGACACGTAGGGCAAAACCGCGCAAGAGGGAATCATCATAGACCTCCACTCATCTCCATAAAGGGCTTTAGTCCTCGCCACCGAGTGGAAGGGCCCGAACTTCTTCGAGCAGTAAAACCCTGAGCCCAAACCCTAAACCCTAAACCCTAAACCCTAAACCCTGAACCCTGAACCCTAAACCCTAAACCCTAAGCCCTAAGCCCTAAACCCTGCTGCGCGCCAGCCCAAGCCGCGTTCCCTCCCCACGCCCAACCCCCAACCCCCAACCCCCGAGCCCCAAGCCCTAAACCCTAAACCCTAAAAGAGGGTTTGGCGCGGACCCTCGGCGGTTTGCTGGCGCTTGAAGGCCTCGAGGGAAGGCGCGAGGGGCTGGCGAAAGCTGCTCGGAAGGTCTTGAAAAGATTTTATTTTTTTTTCTTGAATTTCTTCGAAGTCGAAAAGCGGCAGCAGCTCTTTGCTGCTGCTGCGCTGCAGCTCCTTGCGCTCCACCGCGCGAAACAAGTCCGCCTCCAGCTGCGCAAACCCTAAACCCTAAACCCTAAACCCTAAATCCTAAACCCTAAACCCTAAACCCTAAAGCTCGGCCGCGAAGCCCCCAGCGCGGCCGCCGCGGGCACCCCGCCGCAGCCCCCCGAGCAGCGCCCGCGCCTAGGGCTTGGGGCTTAGGGTTTAGGGTTTAGGGTTTAGGGTTTACCATGGAGAGGAGCTGCTGCACTGTCAAAGTGTCCGGGTGCTGCGGGCCTAGGGTTTTGCTGCGGAAGAAATAAACCTCCTTATAGGCCTCGAGGGCTTCGCGGAGGCGGCCCCCCTGGTGCTGGACGCAGCCCAGGGCAAGCACCAGGTCCTGCAGCAAACCCTAAACCCTAAACCCTAAACCCTAAACCCTAAAGCCGAGGCCCCGGCTTGACGAGAGGCGCGGACCGCGGGAAAGGCACCGACTTAGGTAAGGGACTATAAGCGGAAACAACCAATTTTGAGCCCGGGACCTCTCGGCCCCAAGCCCTAAACCCTAAACCCTAAACCCTAAATAAACCCTAAACCCTAAACCCTAAACCCTGACCTGGACCGGCTCGCAGTCCCTGTTCTGGTGAATCCGCATGCGCATGTCCAGCGCAGTGAGAATGTTTGGAAACGCATCAGCCGGCCTTCCTGCAGCCAAAACCCTAAACCCTAAACCCTAAACCCTAAACCCTAAACCCTAGAATACTGGCGTTTTCACTGTATTGCGAGTGTCCACGGCGCCCCGCCTGGCGGCGGCGCGGGGCCTCCCCCCGGCCCCCGCAGGGTTTAGGGTTTAGGGTTTAGGGTTTAGGGTTTGCCTAGGAGCCTGAAGACGAGCCCGAGGTTTGCGTAGACGTCTGCAACCCTCGGGTGAGGGTTTGCTGCTTCTGCGTCTCCCAGCTGCTGCTGCCGCAGCAGCAGCATCTCCTGCAGCACGGGGAGACAGTCGGAAAAAAGATTTGATCGAAAAAGAAATAAAGCAGCAACTCCAAGAGCATCCGAAACCGCCAGAGGGTCTCCCGCGTGCACTCGCCGGCACAGCGACACGTAGCTGCGACGCAAACCCTAAACCCTAAACCCTAAACCCTAAACCCTAAACCCTAAACCCTAAACCCT